ATATATATTAAAAAGATATTTGTACATACACAACAAAACTAAATTGTTTCTTTTTTGCTTTTCATTATTTTGAATTTATCTGTTGATTTGTTAATGATGTTTTTATTTCTTGTTGTTGATTAGCTGTTGTTATACTATATCCATTTGGATATCTTTGTCGAAATCTTCGAACAACATCAGGTTCAATTAAACGAACACCATCTAATTGATTACCAAGTGTAATCCAATTTGGTTGAACATTATGTGGTCGTCCGAATAATTCAACTTTACGTGTTCGTGGTGATAATCGTTCGATTATACCATAGATTTCATCTGGTTTACGTGATGTTGCACGTACTTCAGCAACAAGAACATCAGAATCAAGACCACGATTCATTCCAGCAGTTGAACCTTTAACACCAACAAGACAATGTTCTTTACCATGATTAAGCCAATGTCCAGTACGACCAGTACGAATAATACGTTGTAATTGATTTGTTTTAACCCATATTATTTCATCACATCGTTGATAACCCCATATACGAAGACATTCACGTCCTGAAAAACAAGAACATGTATTTTAAATTGATAGAGACATGTCGAGTTCATCAAGATTGAGAGCAAGGATCAGTCTGAATAGACAAAAAAAAGTGAAAATCATTTAGTTTTGCTAGAGAAAAACGGAAATTCTTTCTTTCTTCTTATTGGACGTACTTTTATACATATTGATGATTGCTTTGTTTTATATACTGTTCTTTTTACGCTTATTTTTATATTTTTAACTATTACTAATCGTTTCCTCGCTAGTCATAATAACTCATTCATTATTACAATTTTACTCTTCATTGCTATTTGCAGTTAATCACTTCTTTCACACTATTGACATTAGTCTTGTTTTCTTCTCTGACTGAATATTATCTTTTTCTTTTTGTTTGTCATCTAACACAAGTGATACTTGAGATCGTGTCACATTGTATCTCAGAGGGGTCACCCCCACGAAAGTGAAGAAAACGAGAAAAAAAACAATGTATTCTTACCAAGTTCCATTGCACGACCAGTTACCTAAAAAGCAAACAAAAGAAAATTGTATGATCTTTTTTTTTGTTTATATAAATAAAATTACCCATAAAAAAATATAACCATCATCTTGTAATGATGGTATAGCAAGTCTTCTCATTTCTTCATCAGCCATAGTTCCATATGGTAATTCCATATGAATATCCCAAGGTGGATCAGCCATAATAACAGAAAATTTTCCAAGTACAGACATATCAAATTGACGTAAATCACATTGAACCCATTGTGGTGGTAATGAACCAGGACTAATTCGTTCAACAATTGGTAAATGACGTTTTGTTTTATTATTATTTGATGATGGTGTAAAATCAGTTTTATCTATTTGATAATGAATATATTTACATGTTTCCTATAGACAAAAAAAAGAAAACATTAGAAATTAAATTAAATATTAATTATTATCTTACCATATGAAAACAAGTATTAAGAAAAGAACAATCACCAAGTGAACGATCTGTATGAGGTTTAATTAAACGTCTAAAATGAACTTTACCACATGTATTTGTATTTCTTCCATTTTTTTTATAATAACGTAATGAATATTTTGTTTGTTCATTTAAATCTATTGAATCATCTCGTTTTCTTTTTTTCTTATTAATTTCTATATCATCTTCAATTATTTGTTGTTCATTATCAGATGATGTTAATGATGATGATCGAGAATGATGACGTAAATGTGGACTTGCCAATGGACATTCATCACGTGTTGTATATTGACAATATTCTTGTATAGTATCATTTGTACGAAAACGACGTGAAAGCATTTTTTCCATAGCTGTTTGTCGATTAAGTAAACGATCCATTTGTACATTAAAATTTTCTTGTTCTAATTCTCGTACAGTTAAATGTGAAAGTAATTGAACAAGTTGACGAGGTGGACGTTCACGTGGTAATAATGTACGACAACGTATTGCTGTTAAACCCATCCATGATGGAAGTGAACGTTTTATTGGACTAGAAGAAGTTTTTGATTGATTTGAAATTACTAATTGATTAACATTATCAAATGGTAAAATAGTTTTACCATCAATATCAATTTTTATTTTTAATTTTTTTAATAAATAATTAATTTGTTCATCTTCTTTAGAAAATATCTGAGCGATATTTGTTATTGAGATTGGTGTATGTTTAGTTAGATAATCAATAAATAAACGTTCAAATTCGGGATCATCAATTGTATCTGACGATAATGATTGTTGTAGTTGTTGACGTTGTTGTTGTTGTTGTTGTGATGATAATGATAGTAATGATGTTTCATTAGAATGAATATCATTAGCACTTGTACGACAAATAGCAATAGTCGATGCAAGTAAATCAGAAATATTTCGTTGTTTATCAATCCATTTTTGTTTAAATAAGGTACGACGTTGAGTAAGATCGTCAATTTCATTTTGAAGAGATGATGGTATGAGAGTCATCAGTAGTTTTTATCAACTATATACATCATGTGAAAAGAATTAATCATTAACGAAAACAAATGAATGATTATCATCATGAATTTTGAAGTTTTTTTTTTTTTTTGCCTTTTCGAACCACATGTGATAATAAGAAGAATATAATATCCAATGAAATATTATATTTATTGTATTTTTTTTTACATTTAAATATATATATATATTAAAAATTTAATAAAAATTCATGGTTTTAGACTCTGAAAAATATTAAATAAAAATAGATTAAAAATATTTGATGACTAACGCCCTCTACTGATTATATTTCGATTGACTTTTCAGCAGATATGTAGTACAACAATGCGAAATCTTGCATTCATTTGTTTGTTTATTTCAAAGTAGTAATTGCATTAAAGCCTCTCACACATTCGTATGTATTTAGACTTCTGCATATTTCATTAGAGATTTGTTGAAAAATAGTTCTGCTGTTCCGTTGATAATCCAAATCAGAGCTATCAATAGTCCACTTTTGTTGGTCTGATTCAATGGCGTGCAGGGCAAACCAAGTCAACTGATGTTTTTCTTTTAAATCTGCTAAGTTCTATATCTGTTAGGTACTTTCACAGTTACAATACGGTTTTCCAACTTTTATTTTATATGAAAAAATGATACTATTTAGTTTTTTCGGTAAACAGCAATCATCTCAAATTTTACAAAGAGCAATGGAAACAGAATTCATTTGGTATCTTTCAATTTCTAAAAAATCGATGAATTTCATCATATACACGTTTGCATATTGCTGATGATGATAGAATGGAACGTGGTCTTGATGTCAAACATCATAATTGTAGATGCATACTTGAATTCTTTTCCTGTTGCGATAAACCATGTTCATCTTTTTGATAGTTCCTTTTTTTCTTCATATATTCTATTACGTCGTTTCATAGCTCATCATCATCTATAGATAAGCTTTTATTAACAATGAATTCTTTTAGTAAGACAACATCACTTTCAACTTCTATGACCTATTTTCAAATACAATAAATTGCTCAATCAAAATCGAATCAGTTTTTACTCCTATGGTTTTATATAAATTAGCAGTTTGAACAAGTACGAATATTTTGAAACGCAATGATCTCATTCATTTTCGGATTGGATCTAGAGATGAGATTATTCTTGGGATACGAACCGATCTGGTTGTAGAACACTAGTGTAAATATGTGAAGAAATGACCTACATCCATAACCTCAGAAAATCATAAGTTTTTGACGCTATCTTATGTTTCAAGTTATACTAGGGAAAATAATATTGCATGACACACAAGCCAACAATTTTGGCTTAGCCTGGTTCAATATGATACGAACGAATCATACCAGACTAAAGTTTCAAAACTCAGCCTGGTTTAGTGGTCTGCTCGGCTGACAGTTCTAGTCTAGATATACAACATCAGTCTTCTATAAGTTGAGCTTTGCTACGCTTTGTTTTACATTAAAATTAGAATTCGAATAGCAACCTTTGTGATTTATTTTCAATGAAATAGATTATATTTTCTTCTATTTATCAGACATCTGCATATATATTTTGATTATATCTTCCTTTTCTTAAAGGCGTTTACATTCGTATATCTATCATGAGTTCAAAAAGAAGAAGAAAAAAACTAGATCAACATTTTTTTGATGAATATTGCACAATTGGTTTTGATCGTTTATGAAAAAGTAATTTACGTTTGATCATACATTCAACTTGATAACTTGTATTATGAATTCCATCTGCTTGTTGTTTACGCATTACTAATAAAGGTTTATCAAGTTCTACCATTTTTCCATCGAGAATATGTTGTCCAATCACACAAACTGGCATTTCCTTAAATAATAATGATAAATTATGTTTTTTTTTGTTTCACGACTGATTATAATCAAAACTTACATTTTGTGTAAAAAAAAGAAAACCAAGACGTTCACCGGTCAATGATTGTTTGTCAGCAGCATATTCCTATATTCAAAAATAATAAAATCTATTGAGAAAATATCAATCAATTGATTAACAAAAAAAAAATATGAGTAATAATTGAAAATTAACATACTAATGCGCCTTGTAATTCAATTAAAATTAATTCTGTTGAATTTTCTGCTCTTGAAAGAAAGATAAAAAAAAATAATATTATTGAACAGATTGATTTATTATTTGAATTACTCACTGTTGAATTAATATTTGTACCATATCTAAAATTTATTTTTAATCTATGAATCATTCATTTTTCTTTTCATATGAGGAAAACAAAAACAAACAAAAATTTATTCGGGAGAAACGAAATACATACATATATATATATATTTAAGTTTTTTATGTATCAATGACAAATAACACAATGAAAAAAATCTAAAGCTTATGATATTAGACTGCACAAAACAGAAAAAAAAAACCAAAAAGTAAATATACACATGTATACATATGAAAAGTAGAAGCAAACATCTGAGCTATGCCACACAAACACACAGACATATATATATAGATAGATAAGAAGCGAATTAGTAAAAACTGAGAAGTCATTATTTATATTTTTCGACGTTTACTTGAACGTAATGATGTTGTTTCATGAATTGATGTTTCTTTTAATGATCGTTTTCCATTGTCAATTTTAATAGTAACAAGTGATGATTTTGATGATTTCATTTTTCCTAATTCATCTAATAAAATTGGATCTGGTCTCATGCGAATTGTTAATTTAGGTAAAACTGGTCGTTGAGATATTTGAGTTGTACTTTGATTATGATCATTATTATTGTTGTTTATATTAACATCATTATTTTCACTATCAGTTACTGATGATAATGAACTAATAGAAGATGTACTTGAATGACGAGTAGAACGAATTGTTGGACGCCAACTAAGAAAATTTGGATTATTTGAATGTACTGATGTTGTTAATGAAGTTGATGATGATGAATATTGAGATGCAGTTCGTTTACGACCAATAGGATATGTTAATGAAGAAGATGATACAGAAGATGATGATGATGTTGATAAAGCAGGTGAAAGAAGACGAGATGAACGAGAATGAATTGTTGTTGTCTAAAAATAAAAAAAATTTTATTAATGATTTAAATTTGATTTTTTTTTAATCTATTTTACTTGTAAATGAGATATTTGTGAGATTGTTTCTCTTGTTTGTTTAATTGGTATTGTTGATGATTGTGAATTGGAATTTGTACCATCAGAAAAAAATGCTGAATCTGATGATGTAACTGTTATTGTTGGTTGATTTCGTATGATAATAACAGATGATTTTGATGAAGATGAATGTGAACTACTTTGTCGTCGACGTGGTATTCTTCTATTTGATGATAATAAAGGAAAAGAAGATGATTGAGATGAAAATGTTGTTAGTATATTATTTATTTTCTTCTTTCGAATTGACTAAAAAATAAATAAATTTACAATATTAAATAGTAAAAACATTTATCATTAACATACAATTTTTTTCTTATTTGATTTATTTCGAATTTGTTGACTAGGAGAATTAGATGCTGTTGAAATATTTGTTATTGTCTAAATAAATATCATAAATAAATCTAATTTTTAAAATATATTGACTTCAAAAAAAATTAATCATAGAGATTTAATTTCGATGATGTTTTCTTTTTATAATAAAAGTTTTTGAGAAAAATAAAATTTTCATAGGATTTTCAAAATTAAATATATTCTGAAAAATCTAAATTTTACTTTGTCAACATTTCGAACTACAAAAAAAAAGAGAAGCTTCTTTTGATTATACAATTGAAATGAGTGACTAAATTCGTAATAAAAAAAAATTTCAGATATATAAAGTGTTATGGTTTTATTTTTGCAATGTTTGTTTAGAAATATCTGAATCAGAGATGAGCACAGGACAAAAATCAAAATCACGTCCTGTCCTGTTGACAATCTCTGTCCTGGCGGGCGGCAGAACAGGACAAAAATCAAAATCGCGTTCTGTCCTACAGGACAGCAGGACCGTCCTGTTCTGTGCTCATCTCTGATCTGAATCATACACACACTTCTATATTTAGCTTTTATATTCGCATAATATCAACGTTAATTGCTTTAAGTACTTACATGATATTTATGTCTACTCTAATCATTTATTTTGTAAATGTACAGGTGTATCACTCTATCAATGAGAGTAATGTGTAGTACGCTTATTGTGCAACTCACGTATGTTTTCGAAGAAAATAGTGAGTGTAAGTTTTCAGTTCGAGGTTGGCGGCTCCGCCTTCTCCCCTCGCCCATTCTATTACAGACACATCGCAACGGGAAAGAGAACATTAAAGACATACCTCCAATTACAGACCTGAGCAACCGTGCATAGAAGGCTTTCGATTATATATAATATATCAATGTTTTCATAAATACTCGAGAAAAGGTATTTTGCAGTTTAAACATCAGGCATCAGGATCACAAGTTTCAAAGATATAGGTGAGTTCCACATTTCAGCTCCTCTGAAGCTGCGCTAACAAGCTTTTTTCTTTATGTATCGACTTGTATAATGTAATGTGTTAAATTTCTCCTAGGATCACATTATTCAATTAATAAGTTGAATTGATTTACTCTATCATTCATTCTAATTAATAGAAACTTTTTATTTTCTTCAAATCTTTGTAAATAAACAAATTTTTCTATTGAACTAAGAATTTTTTTTTTTTTGATTTTGTTAATGAAAATCTTAACTTACAGTATTTGTTAAGTCTACTCGATTAGGTGGAGCAATAAATTGACCATTTTTATTTCGATAAATTGCTGTTGGATGTTTTACAACAACTGTTAGTTTTTCTACTTCTGTTGTTTTTTCTAACAAAAAAATATATAAAACTAAATTTTTCTCATCGATTTAAATTCTTACTTTTCTCTTCTACTGTATTAATACTATTAACTGACTGAATTTTACGTAGACGTTTATCAGTTTGACGTAAACGTGTTGAAACAGTCATATGTTTATTTATTGATTGTTCATTCGTAATTGATGATGCAATTATTTCAGTAGAAATAATATCATTATTTGGTAATGATTTTGATATTGATGAATTTATTTGAGTAAATGCACCATGACCAAGACTGAAATAGATATATATTAAATACATACATTTATATATATATATATCAACATATACAAAAACATTACATTTCACAGCTATGACATTCACAAAGTGAATTATTATCACCAAAAAAATCCGATCCATAACAACAAGTTATTTCATCACCAATTTCAATTGGACGAAGTACATGAATATAAGCTGAACTTAAACCTGTCGCTACAAACTAAAGAAAACAGATAAATAAAATATTATGTAAAAAAAAACAACTAACAATGGAGGTATGTGTATTGATAAGCGAAAAAGTGGCACATGTTCGGGTCAAATGAAAGCTCTCAACGGCAAACTAACAAGGTTAAAATATTAGCTGCTGTTGGCTTGCCTAGAGGAAGATATTTAACTTTTAAGTGTAGGTGTAAAAATGAATCAGGAAAGGTTTTCTCCACTATTATAAGGACAAAACATAGTGTTGTTCGGGCCGATTAGGGGGTTTGTAGGGACCCTCTTTCATATGGTCCGAACAACACTATGTTCTGTCCTTATAATAGCGGAGTGAATTTTTCTAGTGATTGATAGAAAATACCGTTTCCATGAGCTACACGAAAAATTCACTCTACTATTGTAAGGACAGAACATAGTGTTGTTCGGGCCATATGAAAGAGGGTCCTTACAAACCCCCTAATCGCCCCGAACAACACTATGTTTTGTCCTTATAATAGTGGAGAAAACCTTTCCTGATTCATTTTTACACCTACACTTAAAAGTTAAATATCTTCCTCTAGGCAAGCCAACAGCAGCTAATATTTTAACCTTGTTAGTTTGCCGTTGAGAGCTTTCATTTGACTCGAACATGTGCCACTTTTTCGCTCATCAATACACATACCTCCATTGTACGATAGTTTACTTACTTTACAATTAGCACGACAATCATGATTGATATAAGCTAAGAAAATGAGTTTAAACAATAAATCAAATAAAAACTTTGTTTTTTTATTTAATTTTCCATACCTGCAGGTCCAAGCCATAATTGTGAACATTTTTTACGGCAAGAATACATAACTGAAAAATCATTTACACCTGGTTTAAGAAAAGCATGTTCTTCTTCAGGACTTAATTCAGCTATACAACCAATTAACATTTCAATTTTATCATTCACTGCCCTAAAACAATGGCCAAATTAATTATATTTATTATTTATATACACGAAGAAAAAAAGAAAAGTTCATTATTACCATGCTTTAGTAGCTACTACTTTTCCTCCACATTTTTCTGTTGAATAACGAAAACATGGTTGAAGTGTGACACCTGAATTTTTATTAAATAAATGAAGAAAACGATATAACTAAAATAAAAAATTTTCAATTATCGTTTTTTTTTTGTTGTTGTTATTATTGTTTATTATCTTACATGTTCTTTAAATGCTGTTAATTGTATTGGACTTTTTCGTGCAAGTAAATGATCATACCATGTACCAATTGATGTTACTTCATCAAAACATCGTTGATAATCAAGATGTTCTTGAAATTGTTCAACAGTTAATTTCCATTGTGGTATTAAACGACGATTTGGTCGAAAACGTACATTCATCTTATGTGTTGTAAATCCAAATATACTATCAACAATAATCATTGTAGCAAGATCATCATTTTCACTAAAAATATAATAATAAATTAATTTAATATAAGAGAACTAGAATGAAAAAAAAAAGAGTCCTACCAAAGATCGGCTACTGCTCGTGGTACACCGTTGTACATACTGATAAAATGAATGATTTATTTTTATTTATATGAAATAATTATGATATTCGATTGAAATTTACAGTTTCATATTACTATTGATGATAATATAAATTCAAATAGAACTACAAAAAAATAGAACATTTTGCAATCTATAATTAATATAATTATATTCTATATGTAATACATAACATTAATAATAAGTTCATAAAAAGAGAAAAACAAAATTGTATTTTGATAAATCTTTTGAAAATCTGTATGATATCTATAAGAACAAAGCAGAACGAGGCCAAGAAAGTCTTCTTTTTTTTGCCACTAGCCATACAAACGCGTCTGTGTGCACTGTACATGACCAATACCACATAATTATGATTCATTTTAAGAATTAATCATGAACTTCTAGTGACATCTACTCAATATTTATATATGTATATATTTAGTGTGTGATTAATATATATAATAATAAAACTGTATTAAAAATTCTATTTGTTGTGTTTTTTTCTTAAATAAAAACACGTAAGATTTTTCTTTGTAAATTATCAAGAAATTTCTAAATATTTAACAAACTAATAATGATATTCATCATACAATAATTTCACCTTAAAGAAAACCTTTGAATAACAATTTACATAAATTAGAATTGTTTTCATACAAATTTTGATCAAGATATAAATGTGAAGGTTTTATATGTAAGAAGTAAACATCATTGATAATAAATCCTACAAAACTTGTTAAATAATGGATCAAATTTCAGTTTCGTTTTTTTTATTCAGTATCATGAGATGTTCTGTAGTTTATTATACATCGTCAATAGTGATATTGTTCTATTCACAATGCATAGGACGTTTTGTTCGTTTGAAAAACAATGCTATTATATTGTGTGTTTGATGAATATTACGAACTAATCTAATATGATTACTGAATGAAATAAGAGACGAAAGCATATGCATATAATCAAAGTGTATTAGTATTTTTTTATTAAAATACATTGTGTAGTGTACGTTTACAATAGTCTATTATTATTATTGTCCTTCAAGTATCGATTTATAGATGTATATTAATAACTTATTTACTCGACCTCTATTTTGATTTCGGTTATTGCTATTATAATAATAAACTTAAATACTTTTTAGTATATCATATCTTTTTTTTTGAGAAAATAAAATAAAAATAGAAGAAACAATTCTCAAGGACAAATTTGTTTTTATCGAATATTTTCAAGCAATATGTTTAATATTCAATGTAGAACAGACAATGGTTTGTATAGATATCTAACTAATTTTAAATTTCTCATCTTTAACTAAATGATATTTATATAATTGTTCCGTTTCATTTGATATTTTAGTCTTCTAGACATATTTTTAAATTCTTGTTAAATCGTTGTTCTACATTAACAATATATTCTATTTATTTTATTTAAATCACGTGCTCAAATAAGAAAAGAAAAACGAATAAACGAACAAAAGTTTATATGTATAGAAAAATGATCTTATTTCATTCTATAATCTATCAGTTAATTCTATGTCGTATCCGATCGAAACAGATAACCTAACAAGTCACAACTATATTGTTGATATGAAACATCATCGTAATATTTGCTCAATAGATGGATGTATGTCAAGAATACAACGAAATTCTTTTTGTACAAAGTAGAATACTTGAAAAAATCTATATTGAATATTTTTTCACATTCATTTTAGTAGACATTTACAATTATATGATAAAACAATAAATAACAATAAAGTTTGTTCGAATTAATTATTTATCTAAAATATTCTTGAAAATTTCTATTTAGATAAATAATAGTAAAATTTGTCAAAATTTACGAAATAAAAAATATTCTATTGTAAGAAAACAATCTCAAAATAATCGATGCTTTACATCCTGTGTAAAAAAATTATCCAACAATACTAATGTCAATCAAATTTTCTCAACATTTCAACATAATTTACAACAAAACGTAAGAAATCGATAATAAAAAATTTATTGAAACTAAAATTGAAGTTCAAAAGAAAAAAAAAAAAGTTACATCCTTACAAAAAACAGAATAAATTAATTTTAATATACACGATCTTATTTTGATTGTGTACTTCATATTGATTATAAAGATCACCAAAAATAGACATTGTAAATAATCATATAATCGAAATGCAAATTATTGAATTTCAATGCAGAGCATATTGACCTTAATTTTTGTTTCAGTTGAATAATGAAACATTTCCTCAAACTACACAATTAAATATTGAAATTGATGATGATACAAAATCGGAAAGTTCAATTGAATATGATTATACTAATCCATTATCAGTATCTCTTTCAACAAATCATATTCATGTATCAATCGCAACTATTTATTTACAAGATGAACAATGGGTAAAAAAAAAAAAAAACTAAAGTTAATCATTAAATAATTATTATTTTTGTTAGCATCAACTTGAATTATTTATTAAACATTTTTCTTTATATGTTTCACTTTCAAATAATTTAAATGTTACATCATCAACAACACATTTACTTGTTGATGATTCTTCTCATCCATTTCAATGTAATTTTTCAAAAAAAATTTTTCAAGCTGTTGCTCGACATATATTTATTGTTTCTATACGATGGATTGAAGAATGTTTATTACAAAATGAAATTATTGATGAAACTCCATATAAAATTCATGGTGATGAAACAATGAAAACAATGCATTTAACTTGTTATACTTCAATTAATACATTGTTTTCATCATCTATATTATTTGCAATTGATTGTACTTCATTTCAACGAGTATTAACACGAAATGATTTAATTGAATTAGTTATATTAAGTAATGCTAAATTATTCGATTCAGAACAACAAAAATCAATAGAAATTCAATCAAAACTTCTTCTTGTACTTGTTGATCCTAGAGTTGATCGTTATCAATTAGAAATAAAATATAAACAATGGTATAAAAATGTAAAATTTCTAACACCTGGATTTTTACTTAAATCTATTATTTATCAAAAACAACAACCTTTTGAAGATTTTGAACTTTAGATTTTGTTTTCATTTGCATTGTAATTTTTTTTTTGTTTTTTGGTATATTTTGTTCTAGACAAATATACGAAAGAGAGCGTTAATAAATCAAAAAACTTATGACGTTATCGTATCTATCATAATACACGATGAATAATTGAATGCATTTGAGACGAAAAAAAAAATCGTAGTTCGAGTTTTAGACATATGAAATTGAATTTTAGAATTAAACATAATTCGATGAAAATGATAAGAAATTTGTCAATAATAAAATATAAAGTGGTGATGAAATATTCTTCTTAACATAAGATTTTTTCTGTGATATGTCTTTTGATATGTATCGACCTTTAACTAGCAAAAAAAGTACGAATATATGAATATGAACATAGATAAGATACGATGATAATATAGCTTTCTATGAAAATTAAAGATAATAGATAAAATGATTTTGAGAGCAAATTTTATACATGACACAACAAACGCCAAATATTCAATGTCATATTTGAATTAGTTATTATTACACTTGATGATATTTCACAGTGCAAGGATCTCGAATATGTTTTAGATATGTTGTAGAGTGAAAATACATAAAAGGCTAACTAGTTACTCATAACAAGATAAACCATGACACATCATTTTCTGATATTCTTATCAATATTGAAATTGATCATATCCTCATACTATGAGTTGACGGATTTTGATGGGTTCGACACCGTTCAATATAATATTGCATGTATTTATTTTCTTGATAGTTGTTCCTTGAAATATTTTTCATTGAATTTACTTGAAAATAAAATGTATTTATTAGTATAATTTATACTTTTTATGCTTGAATGAAGTGTCATCAGCATATTAAAGCTGAAGAATATTGAAAAAACCATCATAACGCAATCAAACCGATTGCAATTCAACATTGCACAAATCATCTAAATGAATGCTATTAATATCATGATCTTAATGATGTAATGAAATGCTTCGATGATTTTTCATTTCAGATTACTGAACGCAAATAAAACACGTTTGTATATGGCTTTTAGGTGCTGGTTGCTTTACGTCTGATCTCCTTTTCACTATTATAATTAGACAAAAACATTAAAGATATGCCTTGTTTTTTCGAAGAAGCTGTCAAAATTTTTGTATTTTGATATTTTTTCATTACGACATTATAGCATAATTTGTAATTAAAAAATCTTAAGCTGTTTGACAGTTGAGTTTACAATTTAAATAAAGGCTCTATTAACATTCAGTAGTTGATATCTATTTCCTCTTATGTTGTATCAGTAACTTGTCTGTAAATGAATTTCGCCTTTGTTTAGAATCTCAAATACTCATTCAACTAGAATAGAAATAATATCATATTTGTTCAACATCGTTGTCGAATCATTCAAGCATTTTCATCTTCTTCTTTTGAGTTTTTTTATCGCTAAGCTGAATATTCTATGGAAATATGTACATTGAAATAAATATTGTCAACTTCTAATCTCAATTATCTGTTTATTTCATAAACAGATACTTCAAGTGTAAAGCATGCTTTTCTCTTCATTAATAGTATCGTTTGATTATTTTCTAAGAAAAAGCATTATAAACTATTAAGTAAAAAAATTAGATTATAAGAATACCTACTTTTATTGAGAAAATCTTGTTTTTATTCAAGATCCCCATAGGAATTGATCTTTGATTTTCTTTTAATCGATTTTGACAAAGTCTTATTTCGACTAAAACAAAAATGAATATATAAATTAAATCTACGATAACAATAATCATAGCATCATTTAAAAAAAAATCGAAAAATTGTTTAAAAAAACGCAATACTAATACATTAAAGTAATGAAACAAAAGAAGAAGAAGAAAAACAAAAAAAAAAATCAATTATCTTATTACTTATTTTAAAACAGAAATGTAATCTAACATCAATATGAATATAAGAGCTAACTGATTGTTGTTCTATGTTTTTTTTTATAAATCTTAAATCAAATAACATATTTTCTTTATATTTTACATAATTAGTTTTTATTTTTTTGTACTTATAAATTATTCAAAATAATAGATGTAATCAAAACTATACCTATTAATCAATATTATTAAATAATTATAAAAAGGAAAGATTCTAAATATAATTAATTTTGTGAATATTATTTTAAAAGTTTTTGTTAACATACATACCTTTATATGACATTATCTATATTATTTCTTTTCTTACCTTGTACCTTATTAATTGTCCTTGTACTTGTACAATATATATATTATTCTTTCTTATTTCTGAAGTGTTATTCACCTTGAAGAAAAATGTTTATAATTAATAAAAGGAAATAAAAAGAAAAAAAGAAACAAAATATAGATTTTATCTGACTTTATTTCTATGGCAATAGGATGGTAACAAATTCTCTTAATATAAACTCTAAACATTCCTATTTCTCTTGCTATAAATATTCTGATTGATTATGTTTTTTTTTGTTTTGTTTCTTAATTTAAGAACATAATATCGACGAATATCGTACTAATAATAATTGAATTTTTTTTTTCTTGCGGACTAGTATTCTGTTCTTTTCTTTGGTAATTCGAGTTCTCTTTTGTCAAAAAAAAAAAAAAAAGAAAAAAGAAGAAATACTAATCTAAGCATAGTTATGATCAATTTTCTCACACACACACAAAGTTGTTGTTTGTTTTACTGTTCTCTGTGTGTGATAAAGTAAGAGAAAGAGAAAATGAATAGAGATTCGACGAAAAAAAAAAAAAAGAAAAAAAAAGAAACGGATCAAAGCAGTACACACACAGATACTTACACTCATATTAAACATTCGAACATACACACACACACACTTATACATATATATATATATAGAAACAGACAAAGATATATTATGAAAATTTCTTGGTCAAACTTTTTTCAGCTGCCATTTTTTTCATTTGTTTTAAACGTTTTTCAAAATCAAGACCCGTTGCTATTTTAGTATTTGTACCCGTTGTTGTTGTTGTTGTTGATGATGATGATGGTGAATTACTACTAGAACTATTTAAACGATTATATGTTGTACTACTTGTTGATGGTGGAGATTTATTAATGGATGTTTGTCGACCAAGTGGTGTTGGTGAACTAATTCGTTGTAAATTTTTTGATGTTGGTATTAATTTTTGTGTAGATTTTAATGATGATGATGATATTTGAGATTTAAGTACAGGAGGTGATGATGGTTTATTAGATTTTAATGATGATAATGATAATGAACTTGTTGTTTTTAATGAATTTATATTATTACCATTGATTGTTGGTTTTAATGATGTTGAATTTATAGATTTAGGTGATGGTGGTGAACGTTTTGTATTACTATTACTATTAGATGATGTAGTCAATGCTGTTAATTCAGCAAGTATTGAACTAGCTGAATTATTTGATGTAGTACTAGTTACTTCTGATGTTATCTTTTTTTCTTTAAAACCTGTTGCTAATGATGCCCAACCATTAGTATTTTTAGTTGTAATACCATTAGTTAATGAAGAATTTGAACTAGATATTGATGGATTACTAATTGTTGTAGTATCTGATATTGTTGAATCAGACGGCTAATAAAAAAAAAAAGAAAATTCATAAAGAATTTCAACAAAAATATTATTATAATATTTACTTTTGATTTAAATGAAAAAAGTCCAGTAGTTACATCTGCCATAGAAGTTGACATAGTCTTTTTTCCTGTAGTTGATGGTGATTCAATTATTTTTGCTTTATTAATTGATGAAGAAGAATTACTATTTGTTTTTGTTTCTTTTATTGATGATTGTGATTGCTGCTTTGAACAAAACAAAAAAAAATTTTTTTTTTTTTATAATAGCGAAGTTAGAATTTCAAGTTAAGAAAAGTATTCAGCTCATTCTATTGCTGATGAAATTTGTAATACATCTTTCTAAAATCTCGAAATGATTAAAGAATTTTGTCGAAGAAGTTGAATTCTTTCTTTACAATCATAATTCTTACTCGTTTATTAATTAATTTTCGACATTTTGCACAATACCATAAACATCGAGGATCACTAATATCAGTTGTACTAACGGGTGGTTTATGACATTTTTGATGATACTTAGCATGACATTCATGGCATTCAACTAGACGATTATCTTTTTCTTCTGTAAGAACCCTTTAATAATAATAATAATAACACAAATATTCGTTGATGTAATAATAAAAATAATTTTTGTTAACTTACATGCATTTATTGCAAACAAGACCTAATTCAATAGCAAATTCATCAATATCACGTGATGATGATGATAATATTGGATTTATTTGAGATTCAGATGATTTTAATTTAATATCATCATTATCATCATCATCTTGATAAATATCATCATCTTTATTATTTTTATGTATAATATTTTCTAATTGTTGTTTTTTCTTTTTTGGACATTCATCATTATCATCATCATCATCATCATCTTTAATTATTGATGATTTTAAACGTTTTGATGGTGGTGGTTTAGAATTTGTTGTTAAAGGTGCTGAACGTTTTTTCTATTAGATGAAAAAAAGAAAGTTTTTTTTTGTCAATTATTCAAATATAGATAATTATTTACAGGTAAAGGTTGTGGAGAATTTGATGTTGTCAATAAATCAGATTTCGAATCTGATGATGAAGATTCAGGAGATGACTAAAATATTAAATTTTTCTTTATTATTTAAATAAACAAAAACAAAAACAATAAAAAAAACCTTAGGTGATTTATTGATTTGTTTATTTTCTTTAATAAGTTCATCTATTAAAGACTCAAATTGTTCAGACATATTAGATGGATTTGTTAGAAAAATTGAAAGTGTTCGTTGTAAATAATCAAATTGTCGTATTGGTTGTAAATCCATTTTTATTTTTTAAATATGATTATTAGACAAATATGGAAAAAAGAAATCTGAAAAATATTTTAATATAAAGTCTAAAAAAACAATCTTTTTTTTTTCGATGAAAGAATTTGTCTAATTTTCATTTTTGTTTTTTTTTTGGATAATACCCGCTTTTATATAATAAATGTAGAGCGGATGTTGATTTTAGTTTAATTTTTAAAACTTTTCTGCCTTTTTCTTAATATTGAATGCAGACAGAAAATTTTAATATTTTTTTTGCAAGACAAATAACATAAAAATATTTTTATTGAGTTTCTTTTTTTGCTTTGGAATTCAGAAATGAAATTCTGACATTCTAACTCTAAGCACTAAGATATTATACCTTTTTATTTTTAATCGAAATTTTGAATAATAACGACGTTGAGAAGAAGAATAACCACCATATTGTACATTCGTTCTTCGTACGTTCATTTGTTTATTGTTGAATATCTAGAACACATGCACATACGTTCACGTGTTCAACGCTGAATACGAACTAACGGATAAATAATATATATATATATATATATCTAACGACATCTATCTTTTGAAGAAATTAATATATATCTGAGTATTTCATGTCTTTTTTTCTTTCAGTCAAAATTAAATTTATCATCTACTTAAATAATGCAATTTAAATCTGATTTTATAAACAAAACAAAATTAAAATATTTAATCATATGATGAAAAAAAAAACGACTATTGAAATACCGAAAACTACTGACATCTACTGTCGCTGCTGCTGCAAAAAAAAACTTTATAATAAATTTATATTTTCTTTCTCTTGTGCGTGCTCAATCTCAATTTTGCTCATGCTTTTCTTTCTGCTTCATTGTTTTCTTTCTTTTTTTATCTCTTGTCAATATAAATAAGATAATAAAATGCAAAAACAATAATTTTAATATGAAATAAATTCTAGAAAAACATGTCATATTGCAAGTAGCAGAGCACTCGATTGAATTTCTTTCGACCAGCATATTGATGGACGACGAATAATGTGCACCGGCACTTATTATGAATATTTGAGTGTTCAACCTATTTGACAAGATGTACATGTTTTTTTTTTCTTTCACTCAACAATATTCCCCCCCTCCCCTCTCTTCCAAAGTGCCCACTCATTTTCAGCCATAAACCATATGTTTGATTTTCTCTCTACGTATATATATATTTATAAACGAGCGGATGCATTGTGCGCACCGAACCCCATTTGGCAACGTCATCGCCTAGAATAGAAAGAAAGAGGCAGAGAAAGAATGTGCGTTTTATATTTCTTTTTTTCACTCGGCAATAATAGACAATAAATGCGATGACGATGTACGTTACCCGAGAAAAAGAAAAGAGAACGACGAAGCCGAGATTCGAACCATATTCCTTCTTACAGCGTCAATAGTCTGTATGTACATGAATCAAATGACGGAAAAAGCCAACACTGAGCCCTTCATCATCGCCCTCTATTTATATGTCGCTCTTTTTCTCTCCTTTGCTTATAATCAAGAGAAGAAAAAAAAAAGAGAGTGAAAGAGAGACGAAGAAAAAGAAAAAGAAAAGGAAAAAAAAAACATGATGAAGAGAAAATAACATTTAGTCAAACGAAACGAGCATAGCATGAATGCATGTACGCATATAAATTCCGTCGTCATGCATCTCGAGAGAGAGTGAATAAGAGAAATAGAGAACGATAGTCTACTATCACGCCATTAAAAATAAGATGTTTTACTGACTCCATTAAGAAGCTGGATAGAAAGAAAGAGAAGAAAAAAAGAAAAAAAGAAATAACATTACACCTACCATACAGCTTCGTATAAAAGCTTTGTCGGGTAAATTAAGTTGAGGGGCCGAAAATGGGGTCGACAGGTTTCAAACTCAACTGATACATTTAAAAAAAAATATCGTATTTAATAAATTCTCTACTGTATTCATGAATCTTTTGAATATACATTGTATTAGCATTGTTTATATGGCACAAAAAAGTTTAATTTTCGAACGATCTTTTATTTTTTCTTATGTTTTTCTTTTAATAACACACAAAGAAACCAAAGATATATAAAAAAAAAAATTCAAAACGAAATTTTCTAGTTGTTGTTGATTCCAATGATGTTACATCTTGAATTGTTTGAATATGAAGTATCGTTCGGTTTTTATTTAATTTCGTTCAAGATCATCTTTGCGTGCTAATGGTGTATCACGTTTCTTACGAAATGAACAACCTTCTGTAAGACGAGCTTTACCACCCGATGGTGAACAGAGTACATAGTTACAACCTACACATAAAACTACGGTTTGTGCATGACTGAAAACTAAAGAAATAAAAAAAAAAGAAAAATAAAGTTTTAAATATCAAAGAAAATTTTTGTTTTTTTTCTTTTTGTACCTGTTGTAATCTTGTAACAACCTGGGCATTTAACATCCATAAAATATGAATTTGGACTTTGTACAAGTCGTTTCTTTTTATGTTTTCGACGTTCTTCTTCCATTGATGGATGAAGGAGATCTTTTGCTAATGGCATGATTAATTATTTTAAAACTGAAATAAAATATAAATATAAATCTGAAACAAAAAAGAAAAGTAATCAATAAATTTCTGTTGTACGATTAATATTTTTTCATTGCAGCTTATTGTGTGTTGTTGTTTTTTTTTTCGTCATATGAATACATTATATCTGATCAGAAACAAAAAAAAAAAAAGAAATAAAAATAAAAACTAATTGATAGTGATCGCAATCTTTGGAATGTGTTAATAAACAAAAAAAAAACAAAAATACACTGTAGAGCCAATAATTGATATCAAACCGGATAAATAGATTAAAACATAAAATAAAAAAAGAAGCGAAGAAAAGTTAGTTGTCAGATCATTTAGATTTATATATTGTTAAATATATATACATCTATTGATTATTATTTAAAATATTTAGCAGCACTAATCAATATAAGCTTTTCAACAAATAATTCGGAGTCCAATATAGCTATATGTGCTGCACGACCAATAATATTATTAGTACCCGATGGAATGTTATGAAAAGCATTATAACGAACAAATGTTATTGATGGATTACGAAGTATTGGTTCAAGTAAATTACTTATCATTTCGACATATATTGATCCTGAAAATATGATTTAAATAATAGTAATTGTAGACTTAAAGCACTATATAGGCAAGAAAGAAAAGAACCTATACTTATTAGTCCTTATATATACATGAGTGCAAGAGCATTCCGGAAATATCAAGAATCTTATAGAATAGTCGAATGACAGATGATTAAATCATAAAAATTTTTTAGAGATCAAAGCTAAGAGGACAAATCTTGACTCAAAAGTTCTAGAAATATATGCATTTTATATATAAATAATTATTTTTAGACACAAATTATCATTGTTATATGTAAAATAAACTTATGGAAAACTCTATTTTATAATTATCCTAAATGAATATACTCAATAGAAAAAGAAAAAGAAAAAAAGCAAGAAAATTATTTCTAAAATATTCTTTTGTTTGCTTCTTAGAATAAGACAACAAACCATAAGCAGTATCTTTCAATGCAGCTTTGCAAACTTCAATTCGAGCTGAATGAAATGGAACATAACGATCTTGTGGTGAAGCAAGTAATAGAATATTTTTAAAAAATTCTAAACCTAAAAAACAGAAAACAAAAAAATAATGATCATAACACATCATTTATTCTCATCAACTTACAAGGTTGTTTACTAAGTTTATATAAATATGTTTGTTTTGGATCAATATGATCAGAAAAAGACATTTGTGATAAACTACATGATTTTTTCCATTTTTGCATTAACCACATTCCTATATTAACTAAACCACTTGTATTAAATAATGTTCCTAAATGTGGTCCAGATAAAGAAAGATATGTATAAAGTAATGGTCTATATAATTGAAAACGTTTATGACTAACAGCAGCACGTATAATTAAATTTCCCAATGAATGACCAATAAAACTAATACGTTGTGGTTTTAATCCAGAACGTTCAATATGTATATCAATTTCTTCAATAAGTTGTTTAACCATAACATCAATATCATCAAATGTTGTTGAATGATTTGATGATGACATAAGAAAATCTAATTGACATGTTGGTAAACATAATTGAAGATATGTTTTCATTAAACGTAAATCACCAGAATTACCATCTAAACCATGTACACATATAATAAGATGAATACCATTTGTATTCAATGATATTATATTTTGTTCAAAATATGGAGTCATTGATATTGGTGTTGAAAAATCAGAAAAAAACATTAAATTTGTTGAATATTTTGATGATAGTAATTGTTTTAATTTTTCTTTGTAAACAACAAATCTAAATAAAAATATATAGGAAAAATAATTTTTTTTTTTTACAGAAATTTTTGTTATCACATAAGATTAATTATTTAATTTTAAGAGTCTATTTCGATATAGAGAACAAAAATTGAATATAGATCAGTTTTTTTCAAGTTAGACATGATGTCATTTTAGTGGTGTAACCAGGGTGGGCTCCGCCCAACCACCGCGTGTTCGAGCCCAACCACCGACGACAACTTCGTCAGCTAAATTCTCTTATCAGCCCTACCACCCCACAAACCTCATTCTCCTGAGTCCAATCACCAGACATTTAAGCGACGCTAAGCCCTACCACCGCCAAAATCCTAGTTACGCCACTATGTCTTTTATTATATTAGATTGATAAAATGAAGATGAAAACAAAATCTTGAATAATTGATTTGATAAAAAAGAGTCAAATTATGAATCATATAATATTTAGAAGAAATTATCTAATTGAAAATATTGTTATGAAATAAAATGATAATATGTACTATTGATGAAGCTATTATATTTTATTTATCTATAGACTATAATTTAAATGTAGAAATAATTCGATAAAAATAAGAAATATTTCTAATAGTTCGAAAATGCAAAAATAAAAGAAATCTATATTGAAATTACATACTCAATAGTTTGACTATTAATTGAATTATTTTG